AAAACATATTTTCTTTAATCCGACTGTTTTTAATATTCTTTTTTGTATCTGCATTTTTTATTTTATTTCATTTATTTTTTTATTTTCTCCTACTTGCTTTGATTCTGTTTTATCTTCCTGTATTTTAATCATGTAAAGTATTTTGCATTGTCTTTGTACTGAATTGTGCTATAAAAATAAATTTGCCTTGCCTTGCCTTGCCTTTACTCAAACATCCATCAACTTAGCAGCTACATCAGAACGCCTGAGCAGCTTTAGCTTCTGCTTCAGTGAAAAACGGCATCCAGACTGGATTCCCAGAGCTGCTTTAGTCTTTTTCCTCTTGGTATCATCTTTATTTTCACACTGGACTCTGTACTTTTCTTTATTATTTCCACCCCTACTTGGGAGGTGCTAACTAGCTTAGCCTCAGTAGCTTCCTTGTTTTCCCCATGCACACAAGCAGCTCCTTTGTAAATAAAGTCCTTCATTTATGTTTACAATAACAAAGAAATTAATCAAAAAAGTGTAAAATACAGCGACGACACAGCAGGGGTATTAGACTATATGTAATCTTTCAGAATAACAGCAACACTTTCTATGCAATCAGATTAAATTACTAATGCTGCTAAATAAAAATAGAATAAAATAATGCTGAGTCAAAGCTGATGGTATTTTCCAGCACAGTTTATGAATTATTTTGGAAAACTGAAAAACTTCTTTTCAGTGTTTTCCTTTCTAAAAACAGCAAAACAATCAAACTGAAGGAGAGACTTTCTATCTGTGCCATTTGAGCTGCTGTAGGCCTTTTTTAGACTTCTCTGCTTCAGGCACGAAAGGAGATTAAGCTTCATTGATAGCAGCTGAGCCAGCAGGCATTAAATTGATGATGTTCAAAACAAAACATTAAGTTTTTCTTTAACTTTTCGCCCAGAGTCATCTAATTAGAATTAATTAATCCACGATATGTTCCTAATCTCATTATCAAGCTGGCTGTTAAAAACAAATGAAACATTTAAGGCAAGACTATCAGAAAAAAACTAGCAGCCATATTTTCAGACCACTTTCTAAAGAAAGCTTTTTTTGTTGTTTTATTTAGAAGTACATCTACATTAAATGTAGGAGCAAATTGACGCAGACCTTATAAAATTCCAGCTGGGAAAAAAATATTTGTCAGGAAAATAGGTAGAAATACGACAAGAATCCTTCAGAGGGAATTTGCTGACAATTTACTAACATTTACAGACATTAAAAAGGCATTGAGTTTAATGCAAAATGGGGGACAGAAAGTTTTAATAGCAGCAATAAAACCTAAAAGATTTCTTCTGCATGTGGAATGAAAATATGTGAGTTGACAGAAACAGGACCGACTCCGCGAGGATCGCATTGCAGCAGGTTACACACAAGGTTTCACAGTATTTACTTAGTTTCACTGGTTGAACGTTTTTAGATTTTAACTTTCAGCTTATTTATTTTTTATTTTTTGCTTTAGGACCAAAAGGCTATATAATGTTTTGGTAAATAAAGTGTGTTTACGTGAGTTTAGTGTTTCTTGTAGATTTAATATGTACATTCACCTCACAGAAACTGCTTTCCTGTTCCCACCCAGCCTGATTTCTTTTACGTTTCCCCTGATATGTAGGTTTGCTGACACACTGAGACCATTTCATGCCCTTTTTCAAGTTTATGAAATAAGTAATTGGTTTTTTAGAAACACATACATTCATATTTCAATTTACCCATGACAGGTTTTGTAAAAGTGTTTTTTTTTCATTGGTTCCGACAGAGAGGCTTTCTTTCATTCCTACGGGGAACAACAGCTCTGTCTGCATAGCACGCTGCTGCACCTCGTGCGTTTCATTCTGAAATCATCATCCGAATTCAATTTGGCTTCATTAAAGGGGACAGGCTCGTCCTTCATTTGAATTCCTGGGCTTGTTTAAAGTGGTCATCTGCTGTCAATCTGTCAGTAGCATCTTTGTCGCTCCAAGTCCTGAGCTCTCGTTTGTCTTGACATAAGGACTAATCATTCCTCACTGAAGGGGCTGTTTTCTCTCTCTGCCCACTTCCTCTCAGGACAGATTTCACGGCAGCCTGTCCCCATTCCGACCTTGGGCCCCCCACCACATACATGTAAAAAACTGCAGAGTTGCACTGTTGAATTTAGCCTGCTGCTTTATAACCTTTAATCTAAAGGAGCAGTTTTATTTAAAACACACGTACAAAAACGACTCTCCGCGCACATTTTGCTTGATGTGCAGATTTAATACTATGTGGCCCCCAAAACATTAATGCATGCATGGGCGGTTCTAGAAAGGGGGCCAACAGGGGCCAGCTGCCCTGTAGAGCTGGTCCCTGGAACGGCCCCTGTACTAAAATCATAAACTATAGATATTGAAATAAAAGTAAGTCAAGGTTTCTTGAAAGAAGCCTATTTTTCCTAGATACAAGGAGGTAAGTTAGACAATTAATTTAGATGAATTACCTTTAAATATGAAAATAAAAACAACTCAATTATCTAATTTCATGTGCATAAAATCCTCGTTCCTTTGGCAGACAATCACATTTATCTGCTAAAAGTAAAGGCAAACATGCTTATTTTAAGAAATGTGTACTTTTATAGATCGGTTTTTGCAGTATAACACTCATACATCTCTCAGATATGAACTGACAGAAAAGTCCAAAGTCTTACTAAGATAGGATCACAGTTTTTGTCTGTTTGATCAGGCAAAAATTTGAAATCTAGAAAAGTAATTTTTTTCTTAAACTAAGTGCATTTTTTTTTCTTTAATAGAGGAGGTGAGACACTTTGCCAATGGAACAAGACAATTTATATTTGCAATTTAAAAACAAATGCATTGCCCAAATTGAAGTGCATATAATCTAGTTGTCTTATTTTAAGAGTAAACATGCAAATCATCTTATTCACCAACTCAGATTAAGGGTAAATACAGTTCATTTAAGTTATTTTTTACTTATTTCTAGATTGTTTTTGCAGGGTATGGCTCATACACTAGAAAATGCGTTCTTAGGCTGCTCTCTGGACTCAGTGGAAGAAGTGGCTGAAAGGAAGGTGCTGTCCAAGCTTATGTCCATCATGGACAACACCTTTCATCCTCTGCAGCAGACTGTAGAGGAGCTGAGCAGCTCCTTTAGTGAAAGACTTTTACCCCCCGTTTGATAAAAGAAGCGCTACTGCAGGTCATTCATCCCTGCTGCAACCAGACTCTACAATGTGTCAATACAACAGCAATAACTTGTGCAATGTATAATATGCAATTTATTATTTGATTCCCTATGCAATAACCTGTTACTCTATATTTGACACCCAGTGCAACAACTATAAATATAAATATCCATCTATACACCCTATGAAATATCCATGTATAATGATTGTACTAAAAAAATAATTAATAAAAAAAACCCTATGTGAAAGCACTGTATATATTGCATATATCCAATGCACCTTTTTCTTCCTTTGGCATGTTCTTCTTCTTTGACTATTTGAGCTGATGTAACGAGTACATTTCTCCACTGGGAGATCAATAAAGTCAATCAATCATCAGTTCTTGACTTATTTGGTTGTTTCCTTGTGTTCTGTGGCCCCATGAGAACCACCCTGGTAAATGTCCTCTAAACCACCACTATCTCCACACTCCTTCTCTGCTCTGTCGCTTTTTATGCCCCTGTAGACTCTTTTCAATGTACTTCATAATAAAAGGATAGAAAAAAGCACTTTTAGTGCCATATCTATTTCCATATTGTCTTCTTTCATTTTTATAAAATATATTTTTTATCACTTTTGGAAGATCAACAAATGTAAAGCTCACTACTACGATGTTTATATTTTTTAAATCTAACCATGTATTTTTTGCCTCTAGACAAAGTCCTTAAAGCTAAAAGCTCAGTAAATATTTGGTACTAATGGCATAAATGGGGCTTTTCCAGCCATAATTCATGGCATGCACTGAACTTGTGTAAATTATTACAAATCTGCCCAGCGTGAAACAGCAGCCAACTCTGGCTGCTTAGCACATAATATATCTGCCAAACATTGGCTCTATTACCTTTGACTTCACCATTCCTGCTTTCTTTGATGTTTCACTTGAGTTGAAGTGCCTAAAATCAGCATTTACTAAAACAAAAATCATCCTAGAAGCGTTTGTTACTGTGGTACTGTGCATAAAGAAAATATGGATTCTGATCTGTCCACAGAATAAATCTCACACAGGCCTTCTAGTTTTTAATGATCAATGCAGTTGTGGGGCTGGAGTACAAGGTTGGGAGTTTTATGATGCCTCTGCTTTGAAATAAATCCTTTAACTCATCACTGGCAAAAGTAATGATGAAGAGTTCCCTCTGACACATCATGAATAAGAAAAATATGTTCTAGACTAACTTGCATGAGTCGAGTTGCTTCTGCAGGGATAGGTGTTCACTTTGCTAAGCTGGGCAGTCACACACAGTCCTGCAGCGCTGGGATGGTCAGCCTGCAAACAGCGTAAAGGTTCACAACCAACAAAAAAAAAAAAACCCAAGAAATGTCAAACTTTAGAAAAAACTAGAAGGCAAACTTTTTCAGCACAAGTTAGGAAGTTTGTCTCTATTTCTGAACTAAAAGGAGGATGAAAAAAAATACCCACCAGGAGCTGAACTCTACCTCTGCTCAGACCGGTGGAGTTTATCTGTGGTAAATGAGGTCCTCTAAGGATAAAAAGGAAGAAAATATTCAACTTTTAATCAGATTGTTGGGAAAACTTCTGACTACAGCAGCAGGACAGAAACAACATCAATAAGAAAGATCCCATTTTTCAAAATACTTTAACATCCAAGTCCAGGGAAATTAAATGTCATTTAGAGATGCAAAAATTACATGACCTGTTAAGAAGAAACATCTTATTATTTTTAGTTAAAAATATGCTGTAGGAAATCTGTTCCCATTTAAACCAACAAACGGGTAATTTTTATCTTTATAGATGAAAAACATAAAACATTTCATAAAAATGAAGACTGAGTTTGTTTCTAAGGGTTAAATAAAAAGAAACAAAGAAGAAAAAAATATACCTAAAGTAATACTTTTAATGTTGTTTTATTGTGAAAATTTAATTCAAATTTTCTTTATAAAACCTGCTTAAGCTTCTTGGACTGTTATTTGTTAAAATTCTATATTCTGAACCATTAGCTGGCTCTTTATCATTTTTAAGGGATCTTAAGAGCCACAGCAGAGGGTCCAAAGAGACACTTGTGGCTCCGGAGCCACAGGCTGCAGACCCCTGCTCTAGATAATAACATTAAATTGAAACAGGAAATACAAATTATAAAACAGAAATACTTCAGTTAGATTTTTATAAAATCCTTTAGGGACACAAATGAGTAAAGCACCAGAGATTTAATAGAACATGTTCAGATTATGCTGCTGCATTCAGGAAAACTGAAACCTTGAGGCGTTTTACAGGTATTATCCCACCGACATGAAGCCCCTCACCTCTGTGAGCACCGCACAGGAGAAACAGCCGGCGCCTTCAGCTCCTCCTCAGCCTGTTGCCTCCTCATCCTCTCTGTTCGCTCCGCCTGCGGATGACCAATCTGGGCCTCTCCGACTACAGATCCCAGAAAATAAAAGTTTTTGTTTCGGTTCCTTCAGTGATACAGACAGAGAAGGTTTATCCACACAGGCTTAGATTGAGCTTTCAGTGGTTTGTCAGGTCGGTTTATTTGCTCTGAGGACTCTGAGGCGTTATGTGATGTATTGAATATGTCCGAATGATTCTCCTTCTGTTTTCTAACATCAAAGCAAAGTGTCACACAGAAATCTGAAAGGCTGCTGATTTACGATTTCTGCTGAAAGTCTAAAACAAGGCGGTAATTCACAGTAAACATTTATGCCGCAGTGACAGTAAAGCTGCTGCGTAGGGCTGTAAACCCATAATGAATTTTGACAGTCGGGTGCTGCAACTAATGACGCATTTATTTAAGCCATTTGCTCGCTTTTGTGGAGCTGTAAAAAGAAGAGAAAGGCTTTACAGTTTTCATGGGTTAATTGAAAGGCCCCAGTAAAAATGTCCGGTGATGGATGCCTCCCCCCGGGGCAACAAAGGCCAGGAAATAGCTTTACGCACTTCTAAAAGTACTCAGCTTCTTTTTTCTTTTTTTTTTGCAGCCGTTTTCTCTTACACTGGATATATAAAGTAATTAAGTTATTAGAAATAAGTCACTGAATGATTTAGATGTTAAATTATCACATGTTTCTATAAAAAGCCACAGTAGCTGTGATTCTCAGCTTGTGAGCAATCTGTGACGAAGTCTGTGACAGAAAGTCTGCACTAATGCCCCCCTCCTGTAGCTTGTTACCCCCTACCCTGAGCTCCCACTCTTTTGCTTCTCCCTAAAGAAGCCCCGAAGCGCCTTCTTGACCTCCTCCAACCTCCTGGATCCTCCTCCAGCTCCCCTGCAGGACATCTAGACAGAGCCAGAAGGAGTCACGCCGATTTAAGGGGGCTCTTAAGCACATTAAGTGATCTGGTGTCTACTAAAGAGGAAAGAACTGTGAATCAAAAAGCTGGTGAAAAGGAGGTTAGAGGCTTTGCCCGTCCCCCCCAAGCTAAATTAAGATGATTAGGTCACCGGTTAGATACAACGAGCCTTTTGCAATTTATCCCTCCAGCTGTAACAGAAGTAGAAACAACTGCATCAGAAGTAGTTCAGGTACTGACAGCAGAAATCAGCCTGTTTTTCAACCACAATCTGATTTTTTCTCTTAATTTGCTCTGATTAGACAGTAAAACATTAATTTATTCATTAAAAAAAAAAAGAAATTATGATAATTTATATAATCAAACTTAACTGATTTTTTCCACTTTTATAAAATGGATAAAAAAATATTTTTTTTTCCCCAATTTTTGTCAATAAACACATCTGCTTACAGCATGCAGTAGTCCACATTTGGTTTATCTTGACAGAAATACGAAAAAAGTTGAGGATTATTTTGGAGCACTGCCTCCTTGCAAATATTATTTTCTCCTAAACTGTTTATAGGTCATAAACTTTTGGAGAAAAAAAAACAAACCACCATCTATTGGGCTCAGCATTTCTTCAACTGGATCTGCCAGTGAATAAAAGGGATTTTTGTCCTTGTAAATAGCAGCAAATAAAATACTGCAAGAGCTTATCAAATTGTTCTGGTTGTCATTTTAAAAACAGTCGAATGAAAAAAAATATTTGATGTATTTAGATCTCTAAAATAAATACAGTCAAACATAAAAAAAATAAAAAATACTAATTCTAGTCCAGGATTTAATAAAAATAATCAGACTTCCAAATTATTTAGACCTAATGCTAACCTAACAAAGACACACAATAGATTCCGACATTTGATCAATGAAACTAAAAAAAATGACAAAACATAAAATGAGCGTTTAAACTAAACACTAAACTGCTGCCTTCAGACTATCTAAGATGGATAATAAAGCTTGATTAATGTTAAAATGTTAGCAGCCTCACTGTTGGTAATCTTTAACAATCACTGCAAAAAATAGAAAAGTGTGCAGAACTGTAAAGTTTAAGGTAACAAACCTTTGCAATTTTGAGTTTAGGACTCAAACTAAATCATTGAAGTTTTGCTTTTCCATTTGCTAAACTTTGACTTCCATGTTATTGTAACTTGGAACGCTGATGTGAAAGAAGTGGTGACTTTGAAAGGATGAACCGACTAATTAAAAGCCTATTCCCTCTTAGTGAGGACATATTATTGTTATTGAACCCTTCTTGTTTCAGGGACAGTTTGAGTTTTGAAATTCCAAGGACTAAATGCTCTAATCTCTAACCAGGACCCAGGACCTGTAACTTTAGACCTAAATAAGAAGCTTTACTGTCACTGAGCAGAAGGTCAATGCTATTTGAATGACAGCTTATCTTCAGCAGCAGTTTGTATTGTTTAAACTGAAAATTAAAGGAAAACTAAAAGCCTTCAACTGAAAGAAGTTGTTTTTTCTTCCTACATTTGAACTTTCACCTGTTGAAATAACCATAAACTTAAAGGTATAAATTCTGGCAACTCATTCAGTAACTACTTTGGCTTTCTGGACCAACTGTAATTATTGTCCCTATATTAACATGTTTTCAAGTTTATACAACTAAATAAAGTTTTCAGACTAAAAAAGGAGGTTTTTGTTTAACTGATAACTAGTTACAGTTACTTGACTAACCTTTTTTGTAATCAATTTACTTTTAGGAGTAGTTTTACCACATTTTGTTTTCAACTTGAGTCAAAAATATGATGAAGTACCATTAATTTTACTCCAGTAAAGTTTCAAGCTACTCTAAAATGAACAGTTTGTTTTAAACCAAAATGCACCTGAGAGACGCACCTATTGCTTTATGTTTCGGTGAGACTTTTTTTGATATCCAGACTTTATTATTTTATTGTTATTTTCTACCTACTGATCCTTCTGTGTCATTTGAAGGTCAAGTGAAAATGTAGTAAACAGTGAACTGTTTCTTTATACTGGAACTAACTTAGACAGTCTTCAAAACATCCATAAAAAGCCCTTTTTCTGTTGAAGGTTTCCTCATAATAAAGAGGTTTGCCTTCATTGGCCAGAATGTAAAGGAGGCTGCAGATTTGGAGATGACACAATCAGTATATATATGTGTATTTTAATCTGCTCTTTAAGACAAACTAGTTCCTTTCTTCTATTTTATGTAGCTCACTCGTCTCTGTGTACCGCCAGGATAGCTTTGTTGTACTTTTGACAATCACAACAAAAGATATTCAACTATATTCTTCTTTGGATGATAAGGGTTGTCAAGTAAACAGCAACACCTCATGAAAACTGTCAAACCCGGTGGTGGTTGACCGATTGTTTGGGTTTCTCTGCAGCCACAGAACCAGTAGGTATTGACAACCTGACAAAGTAGCACTATGACAGATCTCTAAGTCTCTATAATAGGTTTCTATAAAGCCATTGGTGCACATTGATGCTCCCTGCTGGCCTCCTATGGAGTCAATTTTGTGCAATTATTGTTGCAAGCACTGAAAACGTTTTGTAAATGGAAAAAAAAAATAAGACAGAAATTATACTTTAAAAAAAGTCCTAACAAGAAAGGTTTAGGTAAAGTAACTTTTTTTAACAAACATATTTTTCTTAGATACGTTTTGCAACTTGCATTCTACTCAACTTGCATTTACAGATCACATTCTCTTTCCTACAAACCCAATACACTCACTCATTCACTAATAAAAAGTAGTTACTACATAGAAACGCGTCTTCCCTCCTATCTCCAGAGGAAAGCCGCCCCCAGAATTGAAGAAAATTTGATATTTAAAACACAATTTAAAAAAATAATGCAATTCATAAAACTCATTCTGAAAATGACAAACTTTAAAAAATGCGATTTTTTTTTTTTTTTTTTTTTTTTTTTTATCTTAGAAAACAGCACAGGTACTATCTAAACTTAAAATATCTTCAAGTTTAAATTGGACTGTATTTTTTTTTTATTATTTTAATTTACAAAAAAAAAAAATTGCATACAAAAATAATGGAACAAAATTCACTCCATACTATCCTTCACCAAATTCACCTATGTAACTTTAGAGGGTCACATCCATACAGTTTTTGAGGCTAAGAGTCAAGTAAGATGATTGATATGTCGTTAGGCAACATCTCAGACTCTTACTTGACCACACATATTTATGGTCCTCTGATATAGGATTTAATCTAAAAGCGTGAATTTGACCTTTTATTTATTTATTTATTTATTTTTTCTTCTTCTCAAGCTGCTGGTCGTAAGCATTCAATAAAATCAGACGTGAAAAAAAAAACTTTAATAAACTGAATCTAATAATGACCAATGTATCACAAATTATGAGCATATCTTGTCTTATTTTACATATTTAAAAGTCTTTTTATATATTTGTCAGGATGTTTATAGTTTTAAACAATGTTTTTTTTTTGCCATTTTTTTTATTATTTATGCTTTAAAAGCTTAATTGAAAATGTCAAGGCAAAGGTCTGGGGTTGTAACTTGAGAAATTGTGTAAACATTAAAACTCTTTTGTTTCCATTTTCTTTTATTCAGTTCTACTCTAAAAACAACACAGTTCTGACTAAAATACCTTTCAACCTCCATACTCCAGAACTGTTTACCAATCCTCCTTTTTATCCTGACTATGACTGAGACAAACCAGAAAAGCATGACCCTCTGACTACATCTAAAAACCTAAATGTGGTCTGCATATAAACCCCGTTTAATTTAGGAGTTTCAGAGTGCATTACAGCAGCGTTTATTTCATGGCATGTGCAAAGTGGAGGACGAATTAGAGCATGTCTGAGACTTGACTGACTCAGTGTTTTTAGTTGGATGTCAGTCTGTTAGCGGCTCCGGCTGCTCGAACCGCTCTGCATGCCTCCAAAGTGTGCCAACAGTTCTTAAACATAGAGCGAGAGGAGAACACTTTGCTCTATAGAAGCTCATGAACTAAATGCACATGAGAGGCAGTAAATGTTATAAGATTGAGGCATTTTGGAGGAGCGGAGATAAACACAGCGGTTGGGTTTCAGTTTGACTTTGTTGATGACATGAAGTGTGAAACTGAGTTAAGTGTTCAAGGGGCAGGGGTTCCGGGCTGAAATAAAAACACAGATCTGTTGAGTCCCTGTGACTCGAGGACAGATGTTTGATGGGGTTGGAGTTTGGATGAAAGAGGGAGGCTGGGATGGGGTGGAAGTATGTGCCTGCAGGCGATGAGGGGAAAGTAAGAGTAGAAACCCTTTAGAGGCTTAAACTTCTCCATCAAATGAAGCGTTAACACAGAGAGAATCGTTCAATAAAACAAAGTAAACGTATATTTGGTTTTTCTGCTCTTAAAAGATTTCTCAAGGCCTTGTACCATCCTCTCTCTCTATGGCCCTCGTAGCACATGTAAGCTGATACCCATTTCAAGTGGGTTGCTCATGTCCAGAACATCCACACAAAGAGCCTGGATAAAATAAACATGCCGCGTCAGATATCTTGGAAAGAATCTGTCATGGGTTTTGGGCTAATCACCTCCAGAAGGGGCTTGAGTCAAAACCTGAAACGTTAGCCCCTGACGAGGAGCGCTGGCTGAGCCTGGCTGGGTTGGGCTGCCGAGGCCCCGGGCACTAGGGAAGGATCCGGAGCAGGAGGGGGGGGGTGCCTTCCACGGGTCAGGAGCAGAGGAGTGGAAGCCACACCGCCTCTATAGCATGGCTTCACTGTCATCTCATAAAAAAGCGGCAGGTGTCGTCTCTTCTAGATCAGTTACAGTCTTTACTGGACTCCACTCAGTCGGACCAGAACGTTGACTGACAGGACCGGTTTAATCACAGGGTGACCTCCTGGACATGAACCCTCTGGTAAAAGACCAACTAATGTAGCTGTTGAATTCATGCCTGAAAACTCCAGCTCTGGTTGATGGCTTAAGTAAACAAGGGTGGAGAGGACAGATAACAGCTGGGAATATTGTGATGAAATAAGTAATTCAGATAGAAATACTCTTCTGCTGCCAGCTGGCTGAAAGCTTATCAACAGAGGTGTTGTACTCAGATTAGATTCCAGTGTCAGCATGGGAAGTGGATATAGCTCAACCAAGGTTCAAGCTATAGACAATATGAGGCTAGCAAAGCAAAGCTCACAGCAATAGAGCATAGATGAGAAGTCCCTTTAGAGGCTGGTTAGGCAGAGTATGGGGATATTTTAAACAAAAGATGGGAAGTTTACTTCTTTGAAGACCACCTAGCTTGGCTGCTGCAATAAACAAACTCATGTTGCTGCACCCACCAATTTCAAAGATTAGGGTTTTCTAGATTTGAAAACTGGAACCAGTTCAGGATGGGAAATCTACAAGCCTTTGGTATTCTACGGAGTGAGTTTTGTGCCATAATTGTTGTGAGCAAAGAACACATGCGAATTTGAATAAAATGGCATCCAACTTTTAAAAAAATAATGTTGATAAAACAAAATATTTAAGAGTAAATTTGCTGTTTTCTCAGATTTTATTCAACTTTTGATTTATTTTCAAATTTCATATTTTCAATTTGTTATTTTTTTTCTGTCATTTTTTACCTCTAATTTCTGTTTATGAGATTTAGTTTGGGGTTCTCTTTTTGGGGTTCTCTTTCCTCTGGACAAAGGACCAAAGATGCATTTATGTGTTTCTGGATGGATCTTAGCAACAACGTTCGTACTGGTCAATGTTTTTCAGATTATAGTTCTCAAATTGTATTTTTCAAACATTTTTCTTGCAGATTTCATATTTGTTATTTTTCTTATTCCAAATCTAATTTCTTTAAACTTTTTCCATATTGAATTTACATTTTCAAATTTTATTTAATTTCTGTTTTTCAGATTGGGTAAAAAAAATGGCTTTTTCTCTAATACAAATGCTCACTCCTGACACACATTGACCAATGAAACTGTTCTTGCTAACATCCATCCACACCAAAACACCGGTACCAATCCTCTGATGGCTACTTCCAACAGGATAACATGCCATGTCATAAAGGGCGAACCATCTCAGACTTCCTTGAACATGAAAATAACTTCAGTGTAATCTAAGGGCCTCCACAGTCATCAGATCTCAATCCAATAGAGCTCCTTTGAGGTGTGGTGGAAAGGTAGATTTGCGTCATGGATGTAAAGCTGACAAATCTGCAGAATCTGCGTGATGCTATCATGTCAATAAGGACCAATCTCTCTAGAGGAATGCTTCCAGTGTCTATACCACAAAGAATAAAGGCAGTTTTGAAAGCAAAAGGGGGCACAATCTGGTACTAGCACTACCCAATAAAGTGTCCAGTGAGTGTATATTAAAATGTAGCCTTTGGCTATTAATTCATTATAAATATTAGTTGTTTCTGTTGCAATTTTGTTTTAAATCTGGAAAAAGACCCTTGTCATTTTATGCCATTGCTCTAGCATGGTATCCAGTTTAGGTTCTTCTTTTGGGAGGCTAAACAAAGTCTGAGACCATCTGAAAAACATTTTCTTTTACTTAGATGTCAGCTAAACCAAGAACAGTTGCTGTCACTGTGCAGATTAGCTGCTAAAGAAGCTAATTTAAGCAGAAATTATGTGGCACTGCTTCACATCACCTTTTGCTGATCTGAGAGTTGATTTTGCATGATAATGGTACTTCATCTCACAATGCAATTATTGATGTGTGCAATGTAGTTAAAGCAAAAAAAATAATAAATAAAGCAAAAATACATGGGTTCTCATTCTAAAGGGAAACTTTCAGCTATCTTCCCTCCTCCCTTCACAAATTCCTTCTATTTGAGGTCTGGCCTTTCGACATCAAACAGTTCATATCATATCTGCATCTCTGGGCAGAGTGATCAGACCTTAGCACTAAAATAAACATGGAGGAAAAAAATCTTTGCCTTTACGGCTTGTTTGCTAGGCTCCTTTCCAGCCAAGACAGGCTGTACCCTTCTGAGCTCAGCTGCAATCGAAAACGGACCAAGTATCAGGTAAAAAGTTAGTTTGGTTAATGATTTATTCATTTCTACATTTAGGTAGAAGTCCCCAAACTAAAGATTTGTCGTAACCTTGTGTTTGATGCAATCTTTCATCTTTAAAGTGCTTTTGTGGAGGAGAAAGTAATTGAAAAACAATACAGAGTCTAAAAATCTGGGCTGTAGCTATTATAAGGCCTACCTTTCAAACAAAATCTGCTGTGTTGTGTAGGCCTGTTCCTCGCCTCCGCCGGGCTTATTCGGTAATTGGAGTCTCTGAAAGCAACCCTTACAGAGGGATCTAAGAGCAAAGCGAAAGAGAGCATCAAGGAAGGATATACACGGTTTAAAAACCAGAAGCAAAAAAAAACAAAAAAAAACATGAAAGATTGGTAAAGTATCAGAAAAGAGCTCTGGCTCCAGTGAGGCAAATGCCGTTCGGAGTTACAGCCGACATAGAGCTGTATGTTGGTGGCACAAGATGACAAGAGAGCTGCAATTTCAGTCATGCATTTGCAATTATGATCAAAGAGCGGCCTCCCCGTACATGAACTACATGCACGACATCCGTGTCAGGACCACTGTGTGTTGGAGCAGAGCAGAGCAGAGGTGAGGTCAACTTTCACTGCAGCTATGCTGAGCCATTGTGATGAAGTGGAATCAAAGTCATCACAAGACGACTTGCCGGGAGCCTTTCTGACAATTATTATTTGTTTTGTTGGCTTTTAAAAAGGGCCCAATGAGACACGACAGACCCCGCTCCTGCTGCCTGTTATGGCTCATTAGTGTACATGGACTGGAAAGGCTCAATGCTGCAGAGGCAAGACTATTAAGAGAACATATGAGAATGAAAAAAAAAGGGGGGATTTGCTTTTATGTTTTTATGTATTTTTGTTACAGAACATGTTGCTTAAGATGCAGGTCTCATCAAAACACAAGGATCCCTTTTCTCAAAATGTGCAAATGTAGACTTATTCAGAAAGTGCAGCTCTTTATAAAAGTATTCATACCCCTAAAACTTTTCTGTAAGTCTTCATGTTAGAGAAATAAAAATTAGTTTTGTTTACAGAACATTTGTAAAGTATTCACATCATTGTGAACCATGTGGGGATTGTTGGCCTAGTGATTAGAGCAGTGCGCTTGTGCTCTAAGAAGGTTGCAGGTAGCCGATTCGTTTCGCACAGCCTGCACTCTGGGTTCCTGAGCGAAACCCTTAACCCCACACTGCTCCCCGGGGGCCTCACAATGGCAGCCCCCTGCTCATGAAGGTGGTGGGTTAAATGCAGAGAGTGAATTTCCCCATTGTGGGACAATAAAGGGATTTACATTCATTTTCATTTAGTGAAGTCACGTTATCATTTCAAAACTTACTGAGATAAACTTTTTCCTCAAAATTCTACAGACAATATTTACAGATTTTATATGAATATTTACATTCTACAATTAGTGTTGAAGGGTCTGTAAAAGGGCACATTTGAAGCTATTCAGCTTATTATGACGGACCCATACATTTACATCACAATATAAAGATAGCAACCTAAAAAAATCTAACTTCTGAAATTCACAGCTCATAAACCATCTAACCACTCAAACTCCCATCCCACTGTAAGTTGTTTTTACCATCAGTACACATCATTACTCATTGGAATCGTATCAAATGCTGTTTATTAGAAACATTTTAAGGATTTACAGGGTCTTACTAAACCAGGTGCAAAGCCTTTGGGGTTTATTTTAGGCATAATGTAGCAATAAACTGAGAAGTGTCTTGAATAGATGAGGAGACTGAGATTCTTTAAAGTCGAAGGGAAATGGGTGTTCCAACAGTTGCATTTCCGAATTCTCCCGAGTGGTGCCCGATTTTACACGAGTGAATAAAATTAATATGATTGGTTGTTTATCAAGGGGGCGGATTGTTGTGGCGGAAGGTTTGCAAGCATGTTTGGTTGTGGCTGGTGTCTGGGAAGCATCTTGCTAACCAGTTAGCAACTTAGTGCTAGCAGGTTCCCAATGGGAAATTCCATTGGGACCAAGTAGCACTAAATTGATGACTTAGAAACGACGCTGTCAAGGAACGCTATGGACAGCGGAAACATGCAAGAGGAGGAGAGTTTAGTGTCGGAGGTCGTGGATGAGTCTCCTCCGTCATCCATTTTTTATTTAGAGGAGGAAAGCGGGGACGAAGATGTTGTGGAAGAGGACGCCAGGGCGGCAGAAGCTTGGTTTGGTGTAGAAGGCTTCCAGCCGTACATGTTTGAGCCCTTGCCTCGCAACGCTGCCAGTTCTGTTAGCTCTACGCCTGCTGAAGACACAGACGTGCATCCCCGTGAACACTGGGACGCAACTCAATGGGAAAGGAAAGGATTCTCATTTCTTATTTCATCCGTTGCTTATATTAGCTGAAATATATTAATCAATGTGCTATGACCGAAAAAATTTGATTGACAGATGACAGTTGATATATGATTGGCCGAATTTAGGTGTAAAAGCTGCATAAGGTCTGCATCAGATAACCAAAAAAACAAAACACTGATTTTAAGACAGGATTTTTTTTGTAAATATATATTTTCTACATTTTGGGACAATATCGTCTGATGAAGAGTACAAATATATACATCTTTATGTTAGCTTTAAACATTTGAGGCTGTATAACATTGGATCAGAGGGAGCATTAATATTTGCCCATCTTATGACTTTTTTTACCGAATCTGTAGTTTATTAAGACGGGTGTTACATTGACATTAGAATTAAGACAGAGTTTTTAAGAGGAAGATTGTTTTTCAACTTATCAACTAACCCAAAATATTTAGAACATTTATCAATGAGATCCTTATTTTAAAATTCAAAACCTGATCTAGGAATGTTCCTAAATTACTATTTAATGATAATTTGTCACATATAAACCAGTCATTGACATCAGATAATTCTTGGTTTACAAGATTTTGGAAATTACTAAGATTTTAATGGGGAAAAAATGTAATTGGTCTCATCAGGAAATATTACCTTAAGGACATCAGTTAAATATATAGATACTTGTCTATAAATCAAAAGAAGTGATCACTATATGGCACCCTGAGGAACACATGCAATAGTATTTACTGTTGCAGATTTGCACATATAGTACTGTAGCTCTTGAACCACCACTTGGTTCACTATCCCATTATGACAATGGGGCAAGTTGTTATTTTTGAGATTGCAAATATATGATAAAAAGAAAACCAATAAATCACCTTTATGTAAATATTCAGACCCTTCGCTCTTTGCCTTTCCAGCCTCAAGTTGGCAGTTTGGGGACTCTTCTTTATATCACATCCTAAGCTTCAGCAGGTAGAAGGAGAGACGTATTTTCATGACCATTTACAAATATCTCCTGATGCTTAATCTTATTAGTCTGGACTCTGCCTTGGTCACTTTAGGACATTCACTGAGTGGTTCTGATGCACTACTTTTAGATTGTAGCTTTGTTTGCTTTGGGTTATTGCCCCACTCTGATTTCAAGAGCTCTGTATATTGTAATCCGAATTAAATAGTAATGTAATCCTATATTCCATCTTGGCCAGATCATACTGACTTCCAAGTTTTTTCTGCTTGTGTTTGGTGGCCTTCATCTTCTCAGCTCTCTTCAGCATAAGCAGAGCTGTGCGGCTGTTGGTGAAGCCCCTGAAAACAGCATAACAGTAACAATGATGTTAAGCCCAACTGAATAGCACAATCAATATAATGCAATAGTGCATGAGATACGATGGCGCGTTACCATTCTTGTATAATTTTTTCTGATCTTTCAGAGAGGTCGCTATGGACCAAGGTTGAAACAGAGGAACGGCTTCTGAAATGAATAAGAACTCACATTATTTAAGATTTTCAATTGAAAAAAACATTTAAAAAAATCTATATCAAAACAATGATATTTTAACATCTCTTCTTACTTTAACAGAGAGCTGTGAAACACAAAGTGCTTTCTCTCACACAGTGTTTAGTTTGATCAGCTCCTGATTAAGTAATTAAAGCTACAAAAAATGATACCCTAGCATACAGTGCCCTTCTATATTTTGGGTTGTGCAGGAAATAGTATAGGTAACGCCCTCTAATATAACAGAGTAAAGGAGATATGCTTTAATTGATGGTGTTTGAGGTTTATTTTTATAGCTCTGGGAGGATTTTGCTGTAGTCCCTTTCAAATCAGTCTGAGGTCTGTGATCTACATATGTTTATGTAACCTCATGATCATCTGAGAGGTTCTAACATGTTACACCCTTAATCCACCTCAGGAGCTAGTAATAAACCCATAACCAGTGCGAAATGTAAGTGGTAATTCTGTATACTGCAATGAGGATCATTAGGTACAAAGCAGAGGCAGCCGATCCAGTAGAGTCCATGGTGACACACTGAGCATAGACACTGTTGGTCAGAGGGCAATACTACTATTAACACCGGGGTGCACTGGATTATAAATGAATGGTCTATGTGTGAAATAAGGCGCTTTAACAAATAGAAGGCACTGCGACTTATAATGCATAAAATACGGTACCCTTGGAGACAGTCTCATGGGTTAGGTGTATGCATGGTAAAACATGCTTGCTTATTAATTTGCTACTTCCAGCTTTATAGCTTGAATGCTCACTTGCTGGACCTGCATCGAATGCTGTGAAGCCTCTTCCCAAAGGGCGCATCAGGGAGAACAGTCCATGGTGGAGGTGTGAGGGGTCATTGAAAATGTTACGAACTCTGGACCCGCAGCGCTGGGATGAAATGTCTTTAATGGAGGGAAGAGGAGCCCCGATGATCCTCTCTGCTGTTCTCACCTCTCTCTTCACTTTCTTCCAGTCTGAGGCACTGCAGCCTCCACATCACACAGTGAAACAGCTGGTCAGAACGCTCTCCATGGTGCTTCTGTAGAAGTTGGTGAGGATGGGTGGGGGCAGGTGGGCCCTCCCCAACTTCCTCAGGAAGTGATTTCATGCCCTTTTGACCAGTGAGGTGATGTTTACAGTCCAGGTGAGGTTGTGTGTAATGTGCACCCCCAGGAATTTGATGCTGCTGTCCACCTCTACAGCTGAGCTGTTAAAGAGCAGTGGAGCGTTTATGGCCGGTTCTTCCTGAAGTCAAAGATGATCTCTTTTGTTTTGTCCACATTCAGGATCAGGCTGTTGTCTTTGCACCAGCTCACCAGCTGCTCCACCTTTTTTCTGTAGTTCTGGTCTTTGTCGTCTCGGATGAGGTCCACCACCGTGGTGTTGTCTGCGAACTTCACAATGTGATTGATTGTGAACCTGGGGCCTTTGGTTAGGGTGATGAAATCAGAGGTGTTCTGTCCGACCCCGACTGATTGAGGTCTGTGTGTGAGAAAGTCTAGCAGCCAATTGCAGAGGGATGTATTGAAGCTCAGCTGTTACAGTTTTTCTATCAGATGCTGTGGGATGATGGTGCTGAAAGCTGAACTGGTCCAGGAACAGCATCCTCATGTGGGTGTTCTTCTCCTTCAGGTGTGCCAGGCTCAGGTGAAGAGCAGGAGAGTTGCGTCTTCAGTGGACCGTTTCCGCCTGTAGGCACACTGCAACGGGACACTGATTCCTGTTGCACTGGGTGGAGACTGGAGATGATGTGTTCGGAGCCAGCGTGACTCCGTTTTCAGCACACAAAATGACAGCCTCTGTTATTTTTCCACTCATGAAAAGAGGATTTCTCAGGGTTTTTTCAGCTTATTCTTGTTTCATATTTTAAATTAAATTATAATTTAAAAGGCTTTTGTATGATAAGCATTTAGTGAGGTGCATTCTATAATATTTGTCCATTATAGCTTGGTATCAGTGAGTCTATCTATATTTTTATTAATATATGCAGTTTAAAATTTCATTAGAACCTCCCCAACAACCCCCCCTCCCAACAAACACTGGATTAGATGATGATAATGCAGGAAATCCCACCCATTATGTAAGGAGTTATTCTTTCTTACATGCTGGGAGTTTCTGCTGAACATCTCTCTGCCATAAAGTCTGGTTGCTCCTCAGCCACCCAGGCCTGCTTCGGTTGGAGCACCACCCGGGACTGATGATAACATGACAAAAAACATCGGTAAACAGGATCAGCATAGTGTATCTCTCCCAGAGGTGCCAGGGGTCTTAATGGAATGGGATCCTCCAATAATGGTTTGAGAGGGGCTTTAGTGCCTATGCCTTGAGGGGTCTTGTTAGTTTGCTTTGCCTAGCTAGGTAGACCCCCTCACTCCAACCTCCGCCCCACCGGCAGTACCACTGACCTTCTAGAATCCCCGATGCTGCCCATTGATGCAGCTACTACTGTAAATAAGTCCTAAACGTGCTGTAACACCTCCCATGAAACCTAAACTTGGAGGATAGTGGCTAAAAGCATTGCTAATAACAATAGCACTATTAGCAAGGACAAGTACTCAAGTAGACACTTGATACTTCAATACTTTGATGAGTCACTAGTACAACTTCACAGGCATAAAATAACGCCTCGTGAGCTTTAGCTACAACTTTAGTGAACACCAAACTGCACAACTCTAGTTTAATCCTGCTTGGAATCAATCTTCATCTTGTGCATTTTTAAACTTGATCTTGGACTTTTTTTGCACAAGTAGTCTGGGAGTTCAGTACTCGCTGGCCTCTATTGCTTCACCTTGTTGACCAATTGTACGCATGCAGAGTGATGTAATCCTAGCCACATGCTGTTATGTTAAATATGCATAGTAAAGCTTCACTTACAAACAAAATTACCAAAAACAAAGCTGAAAAGATAAAAATAACAGAGGCTACACCGACAGGATGCCGCCATTTGTCATAAAAACGTTGTATGCAACAAGAATGAGTTACTGGAGTATAAATCTAAAAAATGTCAAATAACGTGACTAGGTACCTTTACTAGACTATTGAGAGAAGGGTGTATTGTACGCAATTTCAAATCTTAACCGGGGGTCCAAATAATGATGGTATGTGCTGTAATTTACTCCACTGTCATCTGTACATGCAAATACATGTACAAGTAACTTAGAACAAAATGTGTACTACACACAATAAAAGGATATCATGTTTAAATCAAGAGCGTGTTTTCATTCAAAATATTTTATGGATACATTTCACCAGAGTAAGTTTTCCTACTGATGAAACTCTCATATGTGAGTCAGACGAGCTGCCTAATTACTCTCCAGATCCCATTTTCTCTCCATCCAACTCCTCATCATCGCCTTTGATGTGCACCTCAGTGTCAACAGACTGGAGCCGACCACCGCAGCAGCTGCAGCACATCAGCTGGCCCAAACGGGCTACCATGATGTACGGTGCTGAGCACGCTCCAAAGAAAAGATCCAGCAAGAGGTAAGAGAAGGGAGAGAAAAAAACAGGATGACATTTCAGCCAGAAGTGATAAATGACATCTGCTTGTGCTGAGCAACCTTCGGTCCCTCAGGGAAATAAAACTGTTTTTCAAACGAATAAATTTAAAGATCAATCAGGGAGGGGGAATGTAAGCTTCGTAGAGGAGGTGGAAGGTAGTGGGGGTTAAGCAACATGTCAAAGGAACAGGTTTAGAAACTAATTCCTAAATATTGATCAACATGACATAGCACTCAAAACACACCTTGTCACTAGATTTAAGAACAGTCCCAAACTTCAACTGTGGAGGTAAGTGGAGCTCTGTCACTGGATAATCCATGGGAGGCAAATCATCGGAAAAGGTGAGAGTCCAGTGCTTTTCCAGTGCTTGCTTTGAGTGGAAAGAGACAAAAATATATATTCATAATAAAGAACATAACAATTGATACATGTTTATTTGCCGTTTTTTGAAGTAATCCTCTTGCAGGGAGGAAAAATAATAATTCACCCGATTGAATTAAGTATGTTTAATAGAGCAATAAGCAATAACTCATTATTTAAGATAAAAAGAAATAAAAAATAAAAACACGAAGAACTCATTGGTATCTTTTTAGATTGACTATGGTGTGACATCACACTCCATCTCTTTTTTTGTTGTTCTCCCATCTGTTATTTACAAATTGGGCCGTCCAAACATGCATGTTTGTCCAACGTAAACAGAACTTACCCCCTCCCCATCCGTAAAACATCACTAGAGCAGCTGAGAAGCAAAATTATTTGCCAAATTAAAGATTTCTTGCTAACAGCATTATAAAGTAATTAGTCACTTCTTACAGGAAAGGTGATGCTGTGTTTATTCTTACCCCTTGCTCACACTGGCTCCGGTGCGGTTACCGAGCCGACGGAGACCGCAACTCCCGCACACCCCCTCTCACACCGCCCTTTTGACTACGGTGCGGTGCGGCTCTGCGGCTCCGGCAACAGGTCCGGAGATTTAACAGAAGTTCACTTGAGTTCACGTAACTTCACGCGATAACACGGCCCAAATAAGGATATTTGCGAGAGCTTGTTGCAGAGGGCTCCGGCATGCCGCAAGGGTAGCTTTCTTGCGGAATTTTCTGCAGCGCCGGAGTGTCTCGGTAACCGCAGCCGGACAGCTCAGCAGCCGGTGAGAGAGGTTTACGTCTTTTTAATGACTTGGAATCACTGCGGCGCCGCACCCACCGCACCGCAACGGTAAGACCGGAGTCGGTGTGAGCCTGGGGTTAGCAAATGTGCGCAAATGGATGAAACAAGGGGGGGTAGGGGCAGGGTTGCAGATGGAGTGGAGCTGGACAGAGGTGTTCCTTGTTACACATCTTGTATTGGTCTACAGTAAGTGCTCAACAACAAACTTAGTGGTGAAATTCATCATACTGTATAGCCCTCTAAAATTACCCTTCCAGGTTGCTGAAAAACTTTTAGTAGCCGTCAAGAAGCCTATGATGTGAATTAGGCTGCATATTTGATTAGTCACTAGCTATTAGCCTGAAAATGCTTTCTCAGGTTGGTTCCTCCCACAAAGTAACAAATGTTGACCTGAGCTACAGAAACAGGTCCACATGTGAACAGGAATCTACTGGAGCATTAAAAAAAAGAGAGCAGAGAAGGAGCATGGGCCGATTGTCGTGATATATTGGGGTCTTGTGGTATTGAATCTGCACACAAATGTTCCAAATGAGCACGGTAGTAGTTTACATGCGTGTGTTTTAAATAAGACTGGTGTTATGAGCATTTATTATGCCTGTAAAGAATTCTGACTTCATACTAAGGCTCTCATTAAGCTTCAAAACGCCAAGACATTCTTGACTGTTGCAGACAAAGTGAGCTTCATAAAAGCATAAATGAGCATATTTGGTAAGTAGAAACTGCCTGGCCCTCACATTCAGATCTTCTTGGACAAAACCAGTGTCTCAGTTTTATATATGGTCTTCTGGATGACTGCTGAGATAGTCCTATTATAATATCAGCTAAAGGTAAACTAAACTAAATTATTAGCTAAGGTAAGCTAAACTAATTATTTGGTAAAATTCGTTTGCATATTTCTGCTATATGGGTTGTGAAAAATGTTGACACTTTTGTCAGTTTTTGACAATTATAACATACAGACTTGAACTTGAGCCAAAAAATCTTGCTTTAACAATTTATTGAGGCAGTCAGTTTGGTCAATATTCCACCTTGGAGCGGCTGAACCCTAAGACTTGCATACCTCCTCCACGACAAATTCCTGCACATCCACCTCCTCGAAGGCGTCCTCCTCTCCGGTTTCAGCGCCAGTGAAAGCAGTGAGCGCAGAAGCAAGCCTCCTCCTCAGGGCAAAGCCCCTCCAAAACGCCTAGATGATACGGGTAGAAAAGGGAAAGTCAGAACACCATCTATGAATCACAGCCCAAACGTAAATACTGCATGTTATCCCATTAGAGAGATAAAACATGCTAGTCGAGTTTTTAATTGCTGAACGTTCTGCTGTCTGAACTCTGCATGACTCCAGGCTGCTAAGAGACAAATGGAGCTCCAAGCAAGCCTCTAAATCCTTCAATTCCCAATGGAGCTGGGGGGGCACACTTCGCTTTAAGCCGAGCCTCACAGGAATTCTAGAGCGCTCTTACGACCGCACGTCTTAGGAATCTGATTAATCACTCCATACCCATCCAAAACAAAACACACACACACACACTGTTCCTTCTTCCTCCTACTCCCACTTTCTTCTCTGGAGAATCCTAAAGGACTCATCAAACATTTCTTGTGTTGAGGGTGAATATCAGAGAGGTGGTGAGTAGCAGAGGAGATTTTCAGGGCAGCAGCTTACACCTCGGTGAAGAATATTAGCCAAGAAAACGTCCAGAACCCGCTGGAGGCCTGCAGATTGACGATCAAGGATGTGTACGTATGGTCGCATAAATCCAGAGTGTGAAAGTGACTTTAGGAAAGATCATTAATTACAAATACACTTTTTATACCTCGCTCAACATGTCAAAGGCTTTGGTCGAAAATAAAATGCTGTACAAAGATACAGCTACAATCCTATTAAAGTTGATGATTTCTTAATGAAGTAACAAAATAGAAATCAAATTAGCCAATGTAGCTCTTTTTTTAAATAAAAATCTGATCGAGGATGAAAGATCAGACATAAAGTTATGAACATGTTATAACCAAGGTTACCTAGCAAAAAAAAAATCTAATTCTGTGTCCGAGTACTATTTGATCCATCATCTGCATTTAGAGATTATGGTACAATTCTAGAGCCATTTGGAACCTAAACCTTTCAGAACAGCAAGCAGAGCAAAAAGCAGAACAACAACCATCTAGCAGAGCTATATAAGTCCAGCTAAATGTGGATCCAGAGTTTTCTTTTTCAGAGAGAGAAAATTATTATTTGATGTACTTGTTAATTTCAAAGTTCTCACAGTAAGAAAGAACAGAGAGTATCTGCAGCTCTGATAGCACAACAATAGACTTTATTTAAGTAGTGTTTAATTTGATATAAATACCATACACAAAAATACTGTAAGCTGTTTAGTTTTAATACATTTCTAGAAGATGCTAGAACAGATGGAAAGCCATGCTACGCACACAATACAATAAAAAAAAAAAAAAAACTAAGGTAATGTTAGCCTTCCTGTGCTTACTCTGTAGGTTAAATTTCTAGTAGAGCCTAACTGTGTCAGAATATTATTGCGCAATTGAAAAAAAATGGTGACTTCCATGGGTGAAAAAGGTTTTAATTAGGAGTTGTGGGGCCGTGCTGTGAGGCAAGAGGCCGGTAAGTCAATGCAGGTCCTTGATTGTGGGAAGAGCTTCTATTTACGTGGCCACCTGTATGTTAATGCCGAGTGCCTTTCCACCCATTAGGAGGTGTGTCACTGTGGTACAGGGGGTCACCAAAGTGCCAGGTGTGTCCGAGGCTCAGAGCACCAGTGGCTCCGTGGTTCCAGAAGTTGCTGAGCTCCAGACAGGACCAGAGAGGACCAGGGTTAATCCAGGGGAAAAGCCAAGGCTAAGACCAAAAAAAATTCCAGGTTTAGTCGGGTCCAAAGGTCCGGAACGGTCAGCAAGGAGCAAGCCGAGAGAAGAGCAGGCATAGGGAGCATGTGCTGGAAGCAGATCTTGAGCTGCCACGTAAGGTATGCATACACTGTACAATTTTTTGCTCTTTTCTGGACGATTTTCCAGTGGCGTGAGAATTTTTCAATCAGGACGACTTTCAGCCTGATTGTGCGTCTCGCAGTGCACAGGGGGTAACAAGGGGCAATCAGCAACTCACGACCACCTCCCGATCAGGAATCGTAAGGTCAGGAAAATATAAAACGTGTTTCAAATTCAGTCAGCCGTTGTGGGCAAATTGCTCAGTGTGCATGCGCAAACAAGGATTCTTCTTCTTCCTCTTAGACGAAAACACAAAAACACGGCGGGGTTGCGAGTTAAATGGAGTTCTTTCTGTAAAATTGACAGACCGTAGTAGCCACATTTGCTCAGCAATGTCTTCCTCCAAATAAGTCGCCCTTTCTACTTATGGTTTTCAGCACACATAATTGCACAAATTGCCATGGCAGCGCGTTTCACTAGTGATCTTCATATCCCTCTTCTACTCGTTTAGCTTCCGGATAGACAAGTCCGAGTAGTGCCATCTCACTGCGGAGCTGAGTCTGACGTGGTTTTAAGTTGTACAGTGTGAGCAGGTAGATTGCATCAGATAGTCGGGTTGCACAATGTGAGAACATACATCGTGAGCTGTGAACTTTTAAACCATGTGGTTTTGTCGTACAGTGTGAACTATAGCTGCGTGCAATGATTGAAAAAATCTTACTATGTATGCCTGGCTTCCACCTTAGCTAATGTGTGCTCAAAATGTTCTGTTTGTAAACCATTCCCATTATGATGTCAGAAGGGGAAATAAATTGTCTAGAGCGGTCTGTAGGAGACTATCATTAGCTAAAGCATTAATATAGTGTTCTCATGTATTAATCTAATGTATTATTCCATTCTCTGAGGCTAACTTTATGAACTCTGACTGGTTGTCATGGTTGCGGGTTATGGCAGCTTGGCCTTTAGGAAGATGGGGGCATGGAAGGTCAAATCAGCTTGTCCAGAGTGGGGCTAAATTAGGAGATTTTTGGTTAAAGCTGTCTGCCTAATCTGAGGAATTTTCCAGCACAAATGGCAAAACCATGCTCTGGGGGCCTCATTGTTAAGATTTTTTTCTTTTCGAATGTAGCATACAACCTTTGAAAATACTATTATTACTATACTAATTTAAGTTAATAGGATAATTACAACATATTTAGGCCAACATGTTCAACTATTTGTGGATTGACTGAAATATTTTGTTTCCATTCAATTGGATGAAATAAGTGTTTGGTCACGTAACATCCAACAAGAATTATCAATCTCAGTTTGTCTTCACTTCAAGAAGTCCTCATGTTCTGCACTCATTATGTTTAAAGGGCATCAGTCAACACAACTGGCCATTAAGACTCCATTCTTTCCACTGTGGGCAAGATCAAAGAGCTGTCTAAGGACACAAATGACATTAACCTGCATAAGGTCGGGTTAAGCTACTGGTGAACAGTCAAACAGATAAGAAAGCAACAGCCTCACTCTCCTTTGGAAGGAGGCTTTATGCAGGATATTCTAGTGTGTAGAGTATACAGTTGTGCTTGAAAGTTTATATACCCTACCATCAAAGAAAATTATCAAATTCACACTAGTAATTCAAATGACACAAAACTGAAAAAAGTAAAAAATACAATATACAACAATAAAATATCGATTGATACGTGCTGCTTCCACAACCAGTGGAACCAACGGGTCACAGGTTACCATTGTTAACACACTACAGTCATGGATTTAAATAAATGCAAGGTCTTCCTGCTTAAACCAAACACTTGCCCAGGCCTACAATGATCTGGAGGAGGAATGAGAGAAGGTCTTGTGAATCCATGCATTCTTCTTTTTTCTATTTGAAACCAAAAATTAAAATGAATCTAAATTTTTTTTTTTTTTTTTTTTTGGGGGGGTTTTGTTTTCTTTTTTTTTCTTTTTTCTTTCCTTTGGGCTCTAACATATGGAAAGTTTTATGAGTTTTATTGGAATATTTGGATTTCTGAATAGGGGATATTCTTTCCTGCCAGTGCAGATCTGAGCAACAAAAAGCCAAAGTAAAACTTCTTGGTATAAACTCCACTCATTGTGTTGGACAACTGCACCGTATGTAGGAGAAGATGGATCAGAGGGTGGATAGTGCAGTTTTGAGAAACAACTTTCCCTCAATAAGAGCAGTGAAGATGGATCATAGCTGGACTCACCAGCATAACAACAACCCATACACGGCCTGAGAAACAAGGAGTGGCTCAGTAAGAAGCATTTCAGGGTCCAGCAGAGGCCTAGCAGGTCACCAGACCTGAACTCTATAGAAAATGTTTGGAGAAAGCTAAAACGTTGTGTTGCCCATGGAAACTAAAAGACTTAAAAAATACTTTATAAATCCTAAAATGAAGGTAAATAATAAGCAGATATGGAGAAAATTAAAGATGTAGAGATTTACTGAGGATTAGACCAAAATTTATTTTGCAGTGGATGCTAACTTGGTCAGAACAGGCAATGCCTAACCTCATTAGATGAAAACGAAGGTCTCTGTATAAATGTTTAACTTTCTCTTCTTTCTGAGATTTATCAAATCATTGTTGGGTATCAATTATTTGTTTGTAGGACAACTTCAAATACTACAAAAATGAGGGCAAGTATTGCATGTTGGGATCTGGAGCTGTACCACCTTCCTCCAGCAGAGTGCGCCGTGGGTCCTCCTGAGCTGAGCCTCCAACACACCTGAGGCGCATCTCATCATCAGAGTTCCAGCGCTATATAACCTGCCTTCAGACCTTGCTTCAACGCCGCAGTGTTGATCTAGTTTGGTTAGCGACCTGAGCCTAGAACCTGAGAATCTTAGCTATCTCTTAATGAGATAAGATTCTAACTCTTCCTTGTTTTTTGCCTCACAGGAATCCTGTCTCTCCCTGAGGCTCTGGATGAGCTTAACCTGCCGTGTCTGCCCTCGTGAGCTAAACCTGAAGACTCTTCTCTGGATTCCCCTGAAGCTCTTGGCTAAGAGCTGGAAACTCAAATCAAGGTCTGCCCTCAAAGTCAGAAGTAAGACGCTGAAACAGTTATTGGACTCTGCTGAACAAACGGTCTCTGGACCCAACAGTTTCCTCTGAGGTATTCCTCAGAAATATCTAAGACTCATAACTCATCAGTCCGTTTGCTAACTGAACTGTCATCCCTGCAGACTCCAGTGAACCTGCCCCCTGACCAGTTCCAGCCCCAGTGCAATATTAATGTGCTTGTGTTTCAATAAACCTTGTCAAACTTTTCATCCAGCCTCCGTGTGTGTTCTGCATATTGGGCTTACTCTGTAACCAATCATGACAGAACACTGCGGCCAAACACTAAGCCCAGCGGGCCACCTCCGTCGGAGGCTTGAGGAGCAAGACGCTCAGATCCATGGACAATCTCAAACCCTCCGTGAGTTACATACCATGATCGAATATCAAAATCAAATGCTTCAAACATATGCTAGCTACATGGGCAGTGCTAACGCTGCATCAGAAGCACGTCCGTTTCTGGATCCACTTCCGCCTCTAAGGTCACCAGCTGTGACGTCATCTCCTGAATTCCGTCCTAGTTTCCCTAAAAAGTTCTCAGGTAATCAGAAAGAATGTAAGGGATTTTTGTTTCAATGCCGTCTAATTTTTGAGAACTCTCCTGGC